GACAAAAGCTGCAAGACTCAAAAGTGATTTTTTTTAATTAAACATCTTTTGTTTACTTTAGCTGATCTTTTAAGCTCGCAAATTTTGCTTATATCGAAATTTATGTCGCACATTTTATTCCATGGATCTCTTTTTTGCGTTTTGTTTGTCTTTATAGTGTTTGTGCACCAGGGACGCCGGAACGATGTGAAGGCAAGGGGGGCAGATTTTCGTGAAAGGGCACTTTTGAATTGATATATACTAAGAGATGTTTGCAAAACATCGGGAGTTGAACTTCGCCTAATCATGTTTTCTATTTATTGGATGATACGGGTGTGAGGGGGTTCTCCGCCAGGCGATTGTGCTATTCTTGAAGCTGGATAAGTGCATTTCTTGCGTTTTTTGAAGCAAATTCGTAAAAGAATCGCACTAACATTTCTGACAATTCGCTATTTTGCCAAGGCAATCCTTTAAATTGAAAGGGCACCTTTGCCCCCCTTGCCCCTCCTGGTAAAGGGCAACTGGGGCGGCTGCCCCTCCTGCCCCCAGTTCCGGCGTCCCTGTTTGTGCTTATCCTACACGTACTAACTCAAGCTTGATCAAGACTAAGTTGACAAAACCGTCCGATTTGTTCGCATACGCATTTGTGTAGCTGTGCACAAACTCGCCCTGTTTCACGGAGAGTCTGAATTGCAGATTGCATTTACACGTTGGTTGAGTTTTTGGTTAGGAGGAAGACCCCCCAGGTTAGGGTTGGGGGTTGGATGTGGTTTACACTTATGAATTTATTGTTTAGAGGCTGGCTTACACTATCAAAGTTTCTGTGATCGCACTAGATTTGTATATAGTATATTTTTACATTCTAAATTTTTCAACTTAGTATATTAGTGAGGGCCACGAAGTCATCAGTGTTAATTTACTGCTGTAAAGTGTTAGCCTCGTTAAATAAAGCCTATAATAATAAAAAAATAATAATAGTAGGAATTTTGCGTAGGTAAATTCAAAGTTTTGAAGGCTTTGTAAGAAATGTTTGAGGGAACACACAGTCAGTTCCTTCAAACATTTCTTACAAATCCTTTAAAACCTAGAGTCAGTTCCCTGAAGCACTTCTTACAAATCCTTCAAAACTTGGAATTTACTACTGTATGAAAAATTCCTACTGTGATCACAGAAAGTTTGATAGTGTAAACCAGTCTTAAAACAAAATAAAAAAGCTGCCAAAGACCATTTTGATCATCTCATTAGCCTACACCAAGTGCAACCTGCATTTTAGATCCTCCTGAAATCAAGTTTTGAACACAGTTCCGAATTCATCTTGTCCAATGTGAACGGAGCCGAAATCTTTTTTTTTATTTTCCTTTAAGTTCAATGAAAGTGGAGCACCTTGAACCGCAACTTCGCGACAAAATACGAGCAAGCCAAGGTCCTGACGTGCAGACTGTATACTTCAACAAAGGACTTTAAATGGGACTTTATATAGCAATTGAATGTAGGTGATCTATATATATATATATATACACAGCCAATTCAAAAACTGGTTGTCCTCTGCAAACCTTAAACTCTAAACCCTAAACCTTAAACTCTAAGCGCGCAAAGCATAATGGGAGCACTGATTTCAAGCTTAGTAGTTGAATATTGCAGCTGTTTGTGAGTGAAATGTTTTCGCAGGGAGATATTTACCATGTCTCTAAGAAATGGGCTCCATATATGCTTTCTAAACTGCTTAAATCGTACTCCCATAATGCTTTGCGCTTAGAGTTTAAGGTTTTACAGTTTAAGGTTTTCAAAGGACAACCTTTATTGAATTAGCTGTGTATATATATATATATATATATATATATATTACTGAATGTATTTGAAGGTAAGATACTGTTACTGTAGCTATGCATGTGGTCGGGTTTTGCTGACCTTGTTGCTTGCTGTAGGTAGGGTGCTGTGTTTGGAAACCCAGGGTCTACAGGAATTGCAAGATTTCGAAGACTTACATAAATCCAAATAATTATCTTTCGCCAGTTTTTGCGACGAATAAGTAATTTTCCCGCCAATTTTTCTCAACAGTTTTATTTCTGAATTGTGAGCCCACTGTATAATTGGGCATGCTAGACTGTTCCTGAAAATCCTGTGACTGTTTCTTTAGTTCTGTTCTGTAGTTCCTGGGTTTCCAAACACATCCAGGTGTCAAACTTTTTATAGCCTGCTTAGCATGCGCTATTATGGGGGGAGGGGAGGGGGAGGGGAAGCTAGGGGGAGGCAAAGGCGAAGGCGAAAGAAAGAGCGAGGGGAAATGGGTGGGCGAGAAATAAATAGCTATTTATAAGACAAAACACAATCCGAAGATTCCATAGCATCTTGAGACTCGATATATGAGTCAAAACAGGACAAGAATGAGTTTGTGATATTTCGATTTTGTTTAAAAATCATCATCAAACTAACTAAAGTTACAATACATAACGATCTTCTATACAAGCTGATATGGCATGACGTAATTACAAAGGAAATTACAGGCAGTATCGACTTGTTTTGACTCCTATCTTGAGTTTCAAGATGCTAATCTTCGGATATTAAAGTCTCTTAACGGCTATTGGACTGTTTAATTGATTTAAATTAACCACTGGGGCCGCGGTTGTTCGAACGTCCATCAGCTTAACCCTAGGTTAACCTAAAATTCAAAGCAAACTTCCCGAAAGCTTGTCTAAGAATCTGGAAATGTTTCTTCAGAAATCTTGTCTGGGTCGACAAGAGTTTACTTCTCTGAAGTTTTGAAATAAACACGGACGTGTAGAAACACACAAACCAAACAGCGGGTTCAATTTTAACCCAGGGTTAGCGCTAACCCACCTTTGAACAACTGGCCCCCGGCTCTGACCTATGATTTAACAAGACGCCTGCTCAGGCGTTCACACTGGCCTGAAAATAACGAGATACGTGCTATGGTGCAAAAGGCAGGAATACAAATCTTAAACCGCAAGCAAATTTTATGGACTTTTTAAAAAAATAAAAGACCTTTTCGGGAGACGTAATGGAGATCGATGCACGTGCAAATCATGCCGACCTACAGAATCGATTTCCGGTTTTCCTAACAGCGCGTTGTTTTCATGTGCGTTCCATGGGCCGCGCTAAAAATATAAATATTCTGTAAATACCGAAATAAAAGATGAAAATCTCAAGACACAAGCTTGAAAATAACACTATAAATAGTGTTTTCGATTCTGGTTCCAATAACATTATCACGAAAAAAATATGTCCAAATGGGCCGAAGTTATGTTCGGCAAAATGTATGGCTAGTTTACATTGTTTGTTGTATTATGAAATATGATACCATACTTGTATTAAAATTCGCGTCGAACTAATGTTATTGTAAATGAGTAGACTTGCCACAAGTCGACCTCGAACGAAATGCGTTTCTTCGAGGTCGACTTGTGGCAAGTCTAGCAAATGAGAACCATACAAATGATACAATAATGGCTCTAGTTCTTGTTGGTATTTTGAACGCACGCTTTATCTTTAGTATAGCTACCACAAATTGTGCGCGTGCGTACAAGTGTATAGGCTAATAAACGAAAAATGTACCACAAGCATGGCATGAGTCGGCTATTACGTACATATATACGAGCTTATTAATATACTATCTAAATCATGGAACCGAGGGAATCGATGGCATTTTGGCTTAATCGTTGCACCCTGAGCCTGCGATGAGCTAACGCAAACTCGATTTCTCGACTACGAAAAAAACAGAAAAAGGGGGATTTAAGACCTTGGCCTTACAGGCCAGTGTAATTAACCGTCCAATATGCCAACTTAACTTGGTATGCAAAATGTCATTTCAATGTTTATTTAGACTTTAACCACTATATTAGTTTTGTCAAAAGTATAAGTAAATATAAAGTATATAAGTCATTGAAATGGGCAATTTTCATACCAAGTCAATTTGAATTGGGCGGTTTGCAATCGACGCCATCTTGCATTATTTTTAAAACACACATAGTAGCACGTAGACTTTCTCGAAGTCCATATATCATTTTCAAAGAGACTTGGACGAAGTCTAGGTAAACCAGTTGGCAGTAATTCGACTTGTTCACTGTACGGCTGCAGTACTTCCTAAAATCAATCGAGACGTCGACTACGCCTAATGACTTATAATGATGACGCTATGTGCAAACGAAAAAATGAAAAATAATGCTTCGGAATATCTGCAGTCTGCACAATGCGCCAGTCTTTAATTTTGATATAACCGACCCTTAGTGTGCAGGTAGATAGTTTAGATATATTGGAATTTAGTTTTGAATTACAATATGACCCTCTACGGCTGTAGGAAATATTTACCGTTTTTAGTCAAACTATTGTCAGGCCATAAAATATCGGTCGGTCACGGACATTGTCCGACCCATTCGTCCAATTGTCCGACGTAGAGAGGAAACCACCGGACATTCTGTCCGACCTAAATGAAACTGAAGTTTATTATGTGTCCGACCCGAATGAATTGGTGTCTGACCGAACTGTAGCTTTGTCCGACGCTTTCTCCACGCACGTAAATCAAAATGTACCCTAGTCCAGTACTAGAAGCTCGTATGTTATAATGGAGAAACAGAGTATTGTACAAAAATGAACCGGAAATGTTGGAAAACGTGCTTAAGTTGTCGAAGTCGTACTGCTATTATTGGCAAGCAAGTTAATCTTGACTTGGAAATAAGTATGATTGAATGACACAAACTATTTAAATATCTTCATAACATTTAGTTCAGAATTAATATATTGTGCTGAAGTTGATTTGCGTCATTCAGACTTATTTCCAAGACAAACTGAACTAAAGGTCATCGGACATCATCACACATATGTCCGACCCAAACTCAAAGTCATCTGACATTTTGTCAGACGGCGTTGTAAAAGATATTTTAAGTCCTGCTATTGTCAGTTGTTTATTGGCAGTCGAACCTCTAATCCTCAATGAGAGTGTGTCAAAATTAAGATGAAATCTTATTTGGCTTTGTAAAAAAAATGCCGCCAATATGAAATCCGACCTTTGCCGCTGTATTTTTTTGTATCAGGTCGTGTCAATCGACATTTTTCCGATTACAAACTGTGAAAGCCCAGAACTTGCACCGCAAGAGGGTGGGCATTTAAACAAGCCTTCCAATTGGTTAAGAGTGTGCATATTCGTGAATTATGTATTAGTCATGAGGGGGCTTCCCGTGTTTCCGTGCACGTTTATTGATCACGTGACTACTTTATTGGGCAATTTAATATGGAGACAATCATCACCCGTTGTATAGTCTATATTGTTCATCATCAAAGGAGCATGTCCGTTTTATAGACCCAACATCAACCATGTGAAGTTCGCTCGACACGCGTACGATGGCGACTGCCACTGCGGCTCGCAATTTTTCATGGAATAAACAGCACAGCAACGAGCGATTCAAACAGTGCGGTCGCAACATTAAACCAGCTCGCACAATAAGGCCAAATGGCAGTTTCCCCTCGTTGACACGAAGCCTTAGCTTTGGCTCGCCAACATTCCCGAGGCGAAAGCCCTCTCCTATAAGACGTAAATCGAAGTCAGTCCACTTTGCAGACTCGAAAGGACTCGATCTTGTCTCGGTGCAGACTTTCAACGAGGAAAAAGAGATCCACGATCACTTCTCAAAGCTTGCAAGCTTTGCACAGACGACAGCTGGTAAACGCCGATTGAAACACGAGCAGAACTCGTGCAAGAATAAAAAGAGCAACGATACACAGTCTAGGAAGCTCTCTGAGAAAGTCACGAAGCAGCTAGCCTGGCAGAGAGTTTGCGTAGAAAAAACTGAATTCCTAAAATCTGGAAATATTCGTGGAGAAGTGTTCGTTGCGAATCTGGCATATGAGAAACATGTGAAAGCGCGCTTTAGTTGGGACTCTTGGCATACACAGCGAGAAATTGACGGTGAATTTCATTCAAATTGTACCAAGGATATTGATAAGTTTGTGTTCGAGATCCCTATACCGGAAGAATGTACAGTAAAGAACTTTAAAGTTGAATTTGCCGTGAGTTATACGGTGCTGGGAGATACCTATTGGGACAACAACAACGGTTTTAATTACCATGTATTGTTTGCCAGTCATAATTAAACTGAATTTGAATATGTTCTCATGAACCAAAACTGAAGTAAAAGACGGTTTGAAGCGTTTAAATATATTCGACAGAGTCTTTAAGGCATTGAATAGAATTATAATGATAATGTAGTTTTAAATATTGTACAGAAGAAGTTAACTAAGTATTACATTTTGCGTATTAAACAGCTCCAGTATGCAAATCTCATCAGTTTAAATATATTTAATTTAAATCGGTTCAATTTCTGAGTCAACAATAACAAGGATTGCAGGTCTGTGGCATAAATATAAACCTAACTAGTCTACGTTGGCTATTGGTTCAAATGGGATAGACTACATCTCTGTTAAAATGTATCGTTTGAATCTCTAATCTAACAATACCTAGCCAGGATTCTTCATACTGTTTCTAGTTGCTATATGACTATATATTGACTATATGACTATGTAGTAACATCAGCTACAGTTAGTCCATACGTTTGAAAACCCTAGACTTCCGAGTATAGATAGGGAAAACGAAAACAACGGATGAGATTTTCCGAGTATATTAGTGCTTGTTGTTTTGGGTAATTTTGAGTAATTGCCAATGCGGAACTTCGAGAAAAACGCTGAGATTGTAATGTACAATGACTTGCGGGGGTGTACTCAATGATTGTTAAGACAATATAGTGCACGTCATAGCAAGGCGTGTTTCATAATGTAAAGCGTGAAGTGATAATGACATGTCATATATAACAGATTATGACTCTAGCTAAATGTTTCCGATCAATGATCGGCAAGAAATTGTTTATGCATGATCGGCGGAAAACCAGGGTTTTCAACAAGGAAATGTAGGAAAGTCATGACTGCCGATCACCATGATCGGGAACTTTGAACCAGGAACGTTATTTCAAGCCCTATACCATTACGTGTATTTGCACAAGGAAAGGTCAATCCAGATAATAAACCATTTTATTAATAGTCAGTCGAGTAATTGTCTTCTTTTGTAGGAACCACACTTGCAATTTTTGCTGCGATTGTAGGGGCGATTTTCTTCTTCTGACGGATGTGAACGAGTGGATAAGTTATAAATGTTCAGGTGAGGGTACATATACTCCGAACATTCGTAACTCATCTACTCATTCACATGCATCAGAAGGAGAAAACTGCACACGGGCCTTATCGTGTATTCCGTGTATTTAAGTTAAAACATACGACCTTGGCTAGTTGTTCTTAATGCTTTCCCAACACAATCATGTATTCCATTTAAGTTGAAAAGTAGTTGGAACACTCCTCAAACCTAGAGGCAGAGCTTGAAATGTCTCCCTTAACAATGCGTGGCTGTCAACTCTAATCCTCATTTCACTAGATCTTTCTGAACGGCCAGTTTATAATAGTTTATACCTGTAAACCACATATAAATCATAAGTTTTCTCTAGTTATAATCACTCAGTTTTAAAATGTTGTATTTCCGCTGATGAGGAAGATCGTGACTCAATCTTTACGACCATATCATATGGAAACCAGGCTTAAGCCTGATCCTCTCTTTGTAACAGGGCAATGTATACAGCACTTTTAAGTGCACACAGCTATCTCAATCAAGGTTGTCCCCGAGCAAAGCGGAAAAGTCGAATACGAGCGCGAAAGTTTTGCTGGGAATCGCTAACAAATTCATTAATTTGTTAGCGCCGGATTCCCAACAAGCTTTCGCGCTCGTATTCGACTTTTCCGCTTTGCTAGGGGACAACCTTAATTGAAATAGCTGTATGCACAGCACTTCTGCAATCAGAAATGACTGATTGCGCACAAAACACAAGACTCATCCATGCAGACTATTTCACATGACTTGGTCACGATGACCAAATGGAAACAAAGCCCTTGATATGATGCATGATAATTGGCACCATTTTCTGCGATCAAGTATTCAAGGAGAGTAATTTAAGTATCTTTGGAACTGTCGAGTATTTCGTGCGGAAATGTTAATGATAGTTTAAATATTCCAATACTAAGGATGCATTCTTGTTTCTTTCCGACATTTTTCATTAATACACTACCTACGCTTTCCGGCTTCTTGATAATAATGCAGCAAATATGCCAAATACTGAGTTTATGAACATTCGTATTACCATATTATGATGTCACAACCCAATATGCCCAACTAATCTTTACGAAAAAGTTACTGCGTCATGACACTGCTCTACCAATAGTCACGGATTTTGACCGGATAATCTAGTTTCCTCCCACAGGGAATGTTGACAGGGTGGGTTGGGTGAATTCCAAACTAACCCATTCCATAACTGTGCTCCGTTATCTGGCAGCCAGAGGCGCCCTTAGTAAGCCTTTATCAGTTTATATAAACTTCTGAGTTTAAGCCGTATCCGTCATAGTTTAGCCTGCTTGCCGCCTGGAATTTCCAAGGGGGGATATCATTGTTCAGCTCATTTTTTCGTGCGTTTATAATACGCATGACTGGAAAACATCGTTAATGGTCTTTCTTTTTACTCACACGCAATTAGTGTGGCGTCCGAACGGGAGCGGCTAGGGGGCTTTCACCCCCCCCCCCCAAAAAAAAAATAGATAAGATTCCAAATTTTGAAGTATATATATAAATATTGGACAAATTGTGGGAATAAATTCAGGAAAGATGAAAGAAAATTGGTACGTGTATTAAAAATATCAAATAGAAAAATGTTGGAAAATTTATGGAAATTAGGCGCCCAAAAAAACCCCACCAAAAACAACCAGCTAAACTGTTCCGCCGCCATTGCACGCAATAATTTTACAAACGATAATTTTATAAAAATGGCCTGTTGTTTGGATACACTGATCCATACAGGTTGGATACACTGATCTGTATTAGACAGGAAAAATTTCAGCTTAAAGAGTAATCTAACAAATAGTGAACCATCTAATTTTCAGGTTGCATATAAATGATTTACACAATTACACTAATCTAACGGCACGTGAACAGTGAATGATACTAGCTTAGGATGATCCGGGCAATACTTCATGATATATGAAATTTCAGACGGCTCAAGCTCCCAGTTATATAGCACAAACTCATCCATATATCCTCCCCAGGCCTGGGCTCGACTTTTATGTCCTCCAATCTTAATCTCGCTCCAATCCTCCGCGATTGGAACTTTCTTCGCGGTTTTAGCCAGTGCTTTTTGATGCCCGTCAATAAAAATTTTCGCTTGACAGTGAAGGGAGTCGAATGTTGCAAGAATATGAACCCAAATGCCTTCTGGGACTACTGCTTGTGTGGTCGCCATATTGAATATTGCATTGTGGTCTTTATTATACGCCTTCCATTGTAATTTTCCATCCGCCACAAGAAGGTCTAGTATTGTTGACTTTAAGATTGATTCTGTGACGCTAAATAGGGGGTGTGTTCCTGTGGTCGAATTTAGGTTAAACCAAGCTCCTATTGATATGGCTTTCGTTGGTCTGTGTTTGAAATGTGTTGCTTGGATAGTTAACCGAGGGTTGGTCTTGGCGTTGAGGTCTAGGCACGAGCCGCACTTATCACAACCGCTGTCCAGGACTCGGGCGTCTGCAAAATAGAGAGATAGTAACTCATCAGTTAAAATGCAGAGGCATCATCAGGGAACACGATATGATGGATTCACGAGAAAACCCGCAATTGTAATTATACCTACTGCTGTAACGATCATCCTGTAACGTAATCGACATATAGTAACTACTTTTTAAACGAGTGAAACCTTTTTGCGAACTATTTTCAGAGAATAGATGCAGAAGTTCTGCGGTGAAAGGCAGTATCAGTGTTACATTATTATCATTATTAAATATGTGCAGTGTTCTGAGCTGCCGTAGTTTGTGATGAACTGATGAAGATCAAAAACACTTCCTGCGGGAGTACCCAATGGGAGTACACTACTAAATATGAAAAACATTGAGGTGCGTCGGGAAATTGCTAGCTACCTGCTATACCTACCTTGGAAACTTCGTTGGAAACGTGGAACGGTGTTTTTAATCTTTTTCAAGTAGTTCAGACACGAAGTACAATTGCTTACTTTGGAACGATTAGCGATAACCTTTTCGCAGGCTATATGTAAAACATCGCAATATCCACACCTCGCCACCTCTAAAAAGAAGACGATGCCCGAATGCTTACTGGCTGGAACCGAGCCTACTCACCTCCCTGCAGATGTCCATCATTATGTAAACCTGACTGATCAAAGACCAAACCCGCACTCCTATTAATCTTTTGAAATCCGTAATGTAGAACCATTCTGTTAAACTCGCAGTCATCATACAACGTTCTCACTTCTCTCGGGTCCAGTGCCCGCGCGAACATATATACCTCGTCAACCGCGATCAAATTTTCGTCCCCAAATTCGGGCCCGATTCCTGCGGGTGTAAAATCTGCGGGTACGCTCTCCTGTTGTCTGTTCACTTTTTCAGTTTTTAATTCTCCGTCGACGTAAATCCGAGTTATACCAGTCGAGCTGTTAAAAGTGCCGCAAAGATGTGTCCACACGTTTTTCCTCACGAGTGGATATTGCGTGTGCGTGTTGAACTCGCGTGACGATCCAGAGTCTCGCGCGAACCATTTGACGTAGCCTGTAACGTTGGTACGGACCCACATAGTTAAAGTGATAGCTTTAGTTGGTTTCTTCTTGAAGTATTTGGTAGTTAAGCGGAGGTTTCCAGAGTTCAAGATTAAGGCCTTGCCACATGAACCTAGAGCAGAATATATATCAATGTTTGTGACATATAACAAACGGGTAGTAAGGGTAGTATCAATGTTTGTGACATATAACAAACGGGTAGTAGGTAAAAATCATGTAAAATTCAAGTTAAAATTTTGACATTTTCAGGTATAATTTGCGTAATAAAGTCGTTATTTTTGTGAAATGATACTCGTATTTGTAAAATACGGTCAATTTAGATCCAGTTCGTTTGCGAATTTGCTTTAGAAAACGCCAGTGAAGTGCAGTTGGAGCTTCAAAAATGTAAATATTTTCTGGGGGAGGACCCCCAGACAGAAGACCCCACTTTTTTTCTCGGAAACTTAGTATGACAAGCTCTATTATAATTAATACACTTCAGGTAAACTTTGAACTCTGAAGTTCAAATTTCAGGTAAAATCCTCCGACACATCCTCCCCCCCCCCAACTTCAGATGCTTCGCTTTGTCCTTTCGGTAGTTAAAGGCCGAATTACACTACACCACTTTTGGCTAAAACTGTTGCATGCAACCTGCTTACAACTTGAGTTGTACTGTGTAAATCAAACACAAAACTCGCTACGACAACGTTGTTACTAACAACTTGCAGCGTTAAAATCGGGAATGAAAACGAAAATTTCTTACCGTACGCCCGTGACGACGTGTGGGCTCTTCTAGAGGTTGACGCGTCATTAAAATGACCAGACTTGTCTTCAACTGCATTGTTGTTGTGAACTGTCGACTTTGGTTTGTCAAAACTAAAGTACATCACTGCGTTTTTGCCTGAATGTGGAGGAAGGGACGAGAAATGTGAATAAAGTTACCCTCGAACATTGTTATAAAATTAGTAAAGTTAGGAGGTCGCTAATCATCCTTTACTACAACCAACCACTTCGAAAGACAGATTCTTACCTAGAGAGCGAGCAACTCGTTGTTCCTGTAACTTTATCAATGCTGTCGATATGATAAAGAAAAGTATTCGATAAGTAAGTTTCTCTGATATAACTAGTTTCTTAAAATATTCAGATTGTTGCTTTTATTTACCTCTGTCTAATTTTCTTAGAAGTTGTGATGCAATAGAGGGCCAGTTTCCTGTAACGAAGGGTAAAATTCCAACAATAGCTAGAAAGTCATAAAATTTCTTACCGAAATATTTTATCATCGATTGTTCTTATTTCGTTTATAGGTTCGAAGAATGGTTGAAAGACGTGCAAGCGTGTGACATCAGTGGTAAGTTTTATACATCAAAAAGTAATCCAACTCTTACTCGATAGAACTATTTGTAGATGGAAATTTTCGAGTGTACATTTATTACCCATACACCTTATACATTGGCATCGATCACCTTTAGAGCTCGACAACTGGACTCTGTATCTCAGTTGGTTAGAGCGCTGCACCGGAATCGCAGGGCCGTTGGTTCGACGATTTCTGCCAGAGGGCCTATATACAACGATACATGTACAGTAAAGGGGGGGTGGGGTTCATTGGGGGTCGAGGAAACGTTCCTCTGGAAGACCTTTGAACTTTACGTTACTTCATATCAGTATCTGTTCCAAGCTCGTTCGAAATTTTTCAAACACACTTGGCTTTGTGAGTTTGTGCAGCTATGCTTCTTTAATTAACTACGACATTTTCATTCAGCCAGGTACACCATCAAATTGATCAAAATGTCAAATGTGTAATAATAATGAGAATTGAAGCTATTTCGTTTCAGATATATTAATATACTTAGGGAGATCATTTAAAATAATTTCCCTTTTTCCCCAGAATTTGGGCGTCCAAAGGCGTCCATTTTTTTGTTCTATGGGCGTCCCAGGACTCCTGGACGCCCTTCTGGCTTGGCTAAAAGCCTGCCTATAGTTGCATTTATCGCAACTGCACCTGGTTAAGTCTAATAAATATATAAAAAGTACACTCCGTATTCCCAACCACAAATCCTTCAACATTATAGTTGAATCGAGTGGGATGCCCAAAAATTCTGATATTTACCCATAAACCCGATAGCTTAGGCTTTTTAACTCATTGAAAATGGATTACTTTTTTGTACTATAGCAGCTGTAACTTACCATCATTCTCTATTGCATTCTTCGATTTTTTCATTTCCGTTTTCTTGGCCTCACTTCCTTGGCTGGGCCCATGCTTCAGTACATTACGCCACTCCTTTCCTATCATGAACGGCTGACCAGCCCCAGGCTTCGAATTAAACTTTTTGAGAACGTGGGAGAGCCTTTTCTTTAACAATGTCAAAGACTTTTCACTCGGTTTGTTTTTAGCTATTTTACTTAACGATTCTTCTTTTTTCGGTTGTTTTAACCGTCCTTGATGCTTGTTCACTCTGGCCTCCAATTTTGAGATTATGTTTGTCAACCTGGATTGTAGCGTCTCCAGTGTTTCTTTATTGATATCTTCTTGTGATTTTTCTTTCGAATTTGTTTTCACTTTTTCTGCATTTTTGGTTTCTAAACTCAAAGGTTTAGTCGAGAGCTGGTCTAATTTTATCGCATTTGAGTGTTCGCCTGCACTCATTTTCCCGTTTGAATGTGCTGTTTTGATGTGCTTGAAATGTTTTGTTTTCTGATCAAGGAGCCTCAAAGGAACTTGCGCTAATTTGATAACATCGTTTTCATTCCCTTCTTCAGATGTCACCTTAAGCTTGCTATCCTGGTTGTCACTGGTTGCAAACCGGTTTTGCCGATCTCTCAACCTGACAAGCAAGTTTCCAACATCAGGACTGCGTGGGGTATTTGTGGATACATCGGGTGATGTTTGGATCAACGTTGTTAAAGGTAGGGTAGATCTTGATGTTCCTAAGGCCTCGGGTTGCACTAGTTGGGGTGCTAAATAATCGGAAATATTTCATTAACTTTCTAATGTATGCCTAATGCAGTGGCGAAGCTAGACATCGGGTCATCATCTACCTATACTATCCAGGCTCCTGGTTGGTTGATTATAACAATGAAAGATAATAAAACTATAGAAATCGTCTTTCTAACACTGGAAAAAATTTTGAAAATCCATAGAAGGTCATTGAATGGAAATTGTATGGACCTTTATTGGAAATAGCATGGATTTTGATTATCCATAATAATTGTATATTTCCATACTATGGATAATAGTATGGAAATAGTATGGATATACTATGGATTTAGTGGTGCAATTGTAAATTTCATAGTATAGATTTCACATTTTTTTCCCAGTGCAAAGAACGAGTTACGAACAATGATCGTTTTTGTTTCTGATTTGTTTCTGAAAGCCAAACACAAAACATGATCATTTTAGGTATCTTTACCCGAGACATCACAACAGGTCATGCTATATGCAAATTTTTAATGATTTGCATTATTTAAACCTTTAGAAATATATTTTCTTTAACGTATTTAGATGCAAATTTATTAGCATAGCATGATCAGTTGCCATGGCTAGCTTTGCCACTGGCCTAATGTTACGTGGTGCGTAGCTATAAGCCTGGTTGATTCGAATGAGATAAACAGCTGGTTTAGATGCATGGTATTTAACGGCGCCAAATCAGAGCTGCAGTGACAATAATGAGCCCACAGATTGTACCACTAATTGTTTCTCATTTTAACATGCATCCAAACCATAAATCGTAGTGTGTGTGTGTGTGTGTGTGCCAGGCTTCAGCGTTAACTGTTACAGATAAAAGATTGCTTTATTCTGACATCAGAGTCATGTTTGACAACCGAGTAGTATTGGACAGGTTTCAATCTGGTGAACCAATTACTGGAAAACATTTTGAAAATCCATGGAAGGTCATAGAATGGAAATTGTATGGATCTTTATTGGAAATAGAATGGATTTTGGTTATCCATAATAATTGTATATTTCCATACTATGGAAATAGTATATAGTATGGATATACTACGGGTTTTAATAGTGGTACAATTGCAAATTTCGTACTATGGATTTCACATTTTTTCCCAGTGAATCATTCTTAACTGGCCTCACACTAGACAATATTTTTATCCGCGAATGCAAACAACGATATAGAACTGCTATATAGCACCCGACAAAAGCATTGTTTTCAACCAATCTAAGCATTTTACTCACTTTGTGAAACCATGGCAACAGACGGAGGTGAATCCAATGGTGTTTCCATTTTTACTGGCACCATAGCCACCACTTTGTTATTGGTTACAGCATTGATGTCACTCCTAACACCAATATCTCCGATATTACTCTGTGCTGGTATTATGGTATTTAATGTTTGAACGGGTAATGTCTGCATACCAGCATCTGGAATGGAACCCAGTATGGGTATTCCTTCATTGAGTAAACTACCTTCTTGACGTTTCACTCGACGCTCGTGGCTCTCCGTGACATCTTCGAGTATTCTCGGATCAGTTACCGAAGTCATAGCGTTGTCAGGAGTGGTGTTCTTTAAAAACTCCGTTCCGTTTTTAGGCTGTATATAAATTATACTGTCGTATTTTAATAGTGTGTCCGGTTTAATGTTGTCTTTATGGTGCGTAGGTAATGTTCTGTTATGTTTTAATAGTGGTTTCGACTGAGGAATACGAAACCTTTTTGCTGCATTATATTCTTGTGTCTTTGTGGCTTCTCCTTGAGTTTTCAATCCTAAGTCGACGAAATAAACACTCGGTTTTGACAAGGCGACTGAGATCGCTGGATTGTCGTCGGGTTTCGGAGACGGAGTTGCTTCGGTTGATTTCTTTGTACCTAGTTCATCTTTCGCTGGTGAAATTGTGAAATGCGTTTTCGTTGATTTCGAAATTTTCTTGTTTTCATTTTTGAACAGTTGTGAGAAAAACTTGCTGCTATCTTTTCTCGGAATTTCGCCAATGACATTATCTAGTAACGTGTCTAGGCTGTTGTGTTTATGTTTGCTTGTGTTGTTGTCTAAAAAATGTAAAGATGGGATATGACAGATTGAGTAATGGACTGAGGGTCTGAATTACATGATTTCTGAATTACACATTACCAAGAACAATAACGCCATGTCGAGGCTTAGTGTTAATTTACCGTAAAAACATTACAATTTAGCACGCCCACAGACAACAGTGCGAGAACGAGGCTTTAATATTTGATAGTAATTCAGAAATGGCCTGTTACATTGCAAGTTGTAGCAAAAATTGCCTCGTGTAACTTGGCCTTAACCTCTGTGTCACACATCCTATAATTTCTTCGCACGTTTTACTTACGTGATTGTGCTGGAAACAGGATAGAAGAGAAAATGACACCAAGAGCAAGAAAATTGGCATAAGCCGCCATATCACACAATCTAAAATGTGAAAACCCTCTTTGTAATAATGTATTGTCATGCAGTATTGACATTATTTTGGAGTTGAAGGAATTTATTCCTAATTTAAATGACACAATACAACTACTTTTAATGCCCAGTGATGACTTTTCAGCGGGCGACCTCTGACCTGTAAAGACTGATAATTGATATAGTATAATATAACCGTGTTAATATTCAAACTTTGCTTTAACCTATTGAGTCGCATTGCGCCCTGATGCGCCCCACTTTATTATTTTACTCTGTCTAACGCCAGACGATTTTTATCGTCAAGGGGAGAGCGCTGGTGCTTAGTGGGTTAACTGGCCTATCTGCTCATGTGTCTAGTTAACCCATTGAGTCGCATTGCGCCCTGATGCGCCCCACTTTATTATTTTACTCTGTCTAAGCCATATTATTTTACTCTGTCAAACACCAGATTATTTTACTCTGTCTAACGCCAGACGATTTTACTCGTCAAAGGGAGAACGCTGGAACTTAATGGGTTAAATAATAGAATAAACTGGCTAATCAAATTGTTTATTCAATGTAAACATCGTTACTGGACCTACTTCTAAGTTTACACTGTCGATAAAACCGACAAATGTGGTCCATATGTAAAACGGTTCTTGACATATCAAATTATAGTCTAATATTAACATCCAGTGACTTTTACAGTTAATTTAACTGACATTAATATAACATACAATCTTACCTACACCGGGGTCATAAACACATCCAGGTTCAATATTAATTGCACGTTATCGATAAATTCAAATGACCTTTTTAAAATCTCGTGATTTTCAAGCCATGTTTTGTCTAAAACTATTCTAATTACAGTTATATTCTCATCATTTAATCTTCATATCGTAAAGTGATTAAGTTTTAACGCTTCAACGAACTAACAGGTACCTTTTCGTGTACTTAGGAATTCCACCTTCCCGAGTCCTCCCGACATTATAGAGAGGTTAAGATTGACGTTTACGGCAGACCGCTAACCGCTAACTTCAAGTCGTATTTTGAGATCAACTGTAAGCTGTTCAAGTTTGGACAATTTGTGCATTAAAAATTGAAGAATGAATTGATTAAAAACGTGTCGAAACCTTCGGTAACTTGTAGAACTTGCCTTCAAATGCGAATTGAAGTTTGCCGTTTGCGTTTACCAGTCTGCCGTAAACGTCAGTCTTAACCTCTATATAGCCTGAGTACCCTCTAAATTGCATGTTGATAAAAAATTATTTTCTTGAACGAAAAATTCTTAAAACTGTAAAGCGGATCTGGAAAAAAGTGGGATATCTCGGGATCCTGAGTGACATTGCCTTCTTAGCAAGAAGATTGAAGAACATTTTCAATTTTTGACACATACTTCTTTATCTGTCATCTGAGATGTAAAATTTTAAATCTGACTATGAGGACTGGGCTAGATTTCAACTCCGCGCAATTTGATCAAGTTCGAGGCAAAGTCGAGGACTGTATCACAATGTGAGGACTTGAAATCTTGTTGCAGTAATAAATTTACGTGGTGTTTCTACAAACAAAAACAATTATATTTTATCGCCATGCAAACATTCAAAGAACTTATAAACTGTTTCTGTTGAGTTGTAAGCATTGATTAAACAAATGAAAACAAAAGTATGATATACAGTTACAGAAAACCAGACTCTTTTAGCGGTCTTGATGCCGTTTTCCACTTCAACCGTATCGTAACGTTATAGTAACGTTGCATTTTCGTTTGTGTCGAAGTCGTTATAGTTCCACTCTATAGCGGTGCTCAGGAAACTCAAACGAAGTAGAAAACGACCTTCAATTTCATGTCTAAAAATCTGGAATAGTAATTCTAAACCCAATCCTAACCGTAATTATGGTAGCCTACGGTGTAGCTGCTGGGGTCTACACCGTAGGCTATAATTATGGTAATCCTAGCCATAATCCTAACACGCTAAACCTGACCCTGACCTTAAGCGGAAGCCTAACCCTAATTTGTTCAATTTAATGTAGTCGTCTGACGGTTGATTTCTATTGCCGTGCATGCAGACAAATTAGTGTGATTGCATCATGTAGAGTGATTGTTCAGAAAGACTGACTGCCAATCTAAAAGCCAATATATATTGTGTCTATTTCAAATGAAAGAAATATATTTCCATACAATGGAACAGTTACATTAGTGTTTAAAACATTTATCTCTGTGGGCATGCAGATGTGAAACAAATCATCCATGTTTGCGTAGGAATTGAAACCTTTGTAGAAACATGTAGCAAAATCACTGATGAACAGTATGAATAACAGACTGTCAAATGTTTGTACACATCAACAATGACCAACATTGACCTGCATGATACATTTCGCCTTCTGCTAACAATCTGCTTGCTGTTGTCCTCGTTCCCTAAATCATATACTACATAGGCTGATGAACGGTACTGATTCGACTTGCAAGAACATAATTATGTCACAGAACTCAGGCTCTGTTTGTGCTATGCGAACATAAACAGAGCTTAGGCGTCCTGTGGGTATGTGCGCCAGTCCACATATACACAGAATATTGTTCCTATTAATGATTATATTGCCAAAGTTAATGGGAAATAGATTTCGTCCATACGTCATACAAGATGGAAATTAGGCCTTTATAATTGCCATGTTAAGTTCACGTTGTGTTTTCAGGACAAAAATCCAATTTTCGTCCCATGCCTGCTGTGGCAAAATGGATTTCACGTAACTGATAACTGGTCGCTGTTTCCAGAGCCTTCATCTTACTGAAATGCCACAAATTTATTGTAAGTTGATGTTTTAAATGTTAAATGGTTATATTTTTTATAAAGAACTTCAGTTTGGGGAAGAGAATAGTTCATTTTTTCAGCTAAAGTGTTAAGCTTCAGCATGTATAAACATATCTTAATTGACTTATGCTTCTTTACAACTGATTTGCATTAAATTTTATTATCGTCAAAAATAATCGCGATCCATATAATGAATGTATCAACGTCAGCCAATTAATGGCCAGCGACAGAATTACGCGTCGCGTTGTTGCAGGTGCAATATAAAAACGGAAGAAATCATTTCAAATTGCTAATTTAAAATCATAAAAAAATAAAGGATTTTTCGTGGATGATTTTAAGAGGAAGAATATTAGCATTACGTTTAGTCAAGTGATATTAGTTCTTATTCTATTCATTCAGTCTTGGTGTATTTATAGTTCCTTCATATATATGCATGCATATTTTTTGCCTCATCCAAAACCCAGCCCTTTAGTCAATTTCTTGACGGTGAAATGTACTACGTTTTAGCTCTACAGTAATTTTCCCTTATTTTCTTTCCCTTATGTCTTGGCATTAAACACCTTTATAGATGGAGATAGTATGCATTTTCCCAAGAAAATATTTTCTTATTTCAAGAAAATGTTCTTAAAATAAGGGGTTTTTTTCTTTTTAAAATAAGAAAATGAAAAACGAGGCCACTTCTTTTTAAAACCTGAAAAATACAAGGCGAATTTCGACGTTTCGAGCGATGGCCCTTTGTCGGGAAGTGGCCTCGCTCGAGACGTCGAAGGGCGTTCGCTCGAAACGTCGAAATTCTCCTTGTATTTTTCATGTAGTTATATCCCTATATCAATCCCAAGCTTTCTATATTATTGGCGCCATACCTACACACAGCAAAAAATCATTTCTTATTTTAAGAAGAAAAAAAGTTATTTTAAGAACATTTTCTTGAAATAAGTAAATATTTTCTTGGGAGAATAACAAGAAAATTTTCTTAATAAGAAAATGATTTTTTGCACTGGCATGCACAGACTGTTCATTAGTATACATGCATTTAGCCTGCTTTTGGGGGCAAGTTTTGTCAGAGGTATTAAAGTTTAACTGACGTTTAAACGTTCATAACTCCAAGGGTGGGTAGTAGCGAAGTAGTAGTAGTTCGCTACTGTAGCGAACTACAATTTTCAAGTAGCCAGTAGTTTTTGACTACTTTTTTAAAACAGTAGTTGTAGTTATAGCGAACTACATTTTGCCTAAAAGTAGCCAAATAGTTGACTACTTTTCAAACAGCAAATCGCTATTCGCTACTTTTTAAAATTGTTAGCAACCGTTCATAGAATAGAATGATATTAAGACACGGTTTGCTTAAAAGATTATTTTATACAGTAAAGATTATTTTAGCGCAATGAAAAGTGGCACTCCTGAACACTGTAGGGCTTACAAAAATGTTGCTTTGACCCTTTTTGTTTACTGTTGCTACTCGTAAGTCGATTTGTTATAGGTTATATTACAGCCTGAGTTAGTGGATGCTCAACTATGCTCCAAATACCGTAAGCTAAAAAATATAGAGTAGCGAAATAGCGAAATAGTTCGCTACATTTTTTAAGCAGTAGCTGTAGTCAGTAGCGAACTACCTTTGTTCAAAAGTAGCAGTAGTTGTAGCTGACTACATATTTTTGAAGTAGCTGTAGTTATAGCGAACTACAAAAATTTTGTAGTCAACCCACCCTTGCATAACTCATGCGACGTTGTATATGATATGTCATGTGCGGGAAAACATGCTTCGTCGCTGGACGAAAGTCAGATTTTGCCGATCTGCCTTCAATGTACACACATAAACTTATCAAGTCGATTCTCTGCTTGTATAGGCATGCATCGAGAAGTTTGTAAAGTGTACAAAGTTCTCTACAGTCTCTAATGTTACCGCCTCTTACTTTTTTAAAATAGGTCCGCAATGCGTACATGTACCCTTAAGGCACATTTCATGCACTCAAGAAAAATTTCCACGGACAGAAAATTTCCCCAAAATATCATTGTTAAAAGTTGAAAATTTTCAACTTCAAAACTTTTTTCCGACGGAAAATTTGTGTCGGCCGCAATCACATTTTACAAAATTTTCTTTCTGCGGAAAAATTTCCTGAGTGGAAATGGGCCTAGAAAGGCTTTATTTAATCCACTCAAATTTTAGAATTCTGTCATGGTTTTAAAAGTTATTACAAGATCTAAAATGCCTCATATCTTAG